CAGTGTATGCTATTTTAGAAGGGAGGGGGATTAAAGCAATTTTTTTTAAAGAAAGTCTTTTTTTTATTATTCATTTATTTGACAGAGAGAGCAAGAGAGCACAAGCTGGGGGAACAGTAGGAGCGTGAGGGAGAAGCAGGCTCCCCGCCAAGCAGGGAGCCTGATGCGGGGCTCGATCCCAGGACCCTGGAATCATGACCCGAGCCGAAGGCAGACGCCCGACCATCTGAGCCACCCAGGAGCCCCTAAAGCAATTTTTAAGAGCTAACGTACTGTACCCCTTCCTCCCTTGGGTTCCATGCACACAATGCCACCTTCTGGTCGTGCTGTGGCTTCTTTTGTATGTGTTGGGGACACAAAGCAGTAAGTGTGAACAACTTGCCCCACCTGCCTCCCATGAGAGGTCAGATCCAACTGAACAGCCTGTAACCAGACCAAATGAGAGTTCATTCGCCCAATGCACAGGCAAGCCAATGAAACCTGACACTGAGCTTTTGCAGTGAAGGAAGATAGGCTATTTATTGGTGTGGTGCCATCCAGGAAGCTAATGCTCAAAAGTCCCAAACTCCTTGATGGCTTACAAGCAAGGGTTTTTCCAAGGGCAAAATTTAGGGGGGGGTCTTCTGAGAAGGTGGATGCTGTTGATTGGAGACCTGTGAAGTCATGTTAATGGATGTGACTTAGTTGCTTCTGGTGCTGCTTTTTCTGGTCCCAGGAAGGTCTGTTTGTCCCATCTTTTGAGAGACTTGGAATCTGAAAAATATCTTTTTTCTTTATTTTAGAGATTTCATGAGGTACATCTGGTGCTTATGTGCTCAGGATAGTGCCCATTTGCAGACTGTATGTGTTCAGACTACTTGGAGGTGCATAAGCTAGTTGGGTTGAATTCCTTCACGTTGCTGTGAATAGTAAACAAGAATTCCTATCTCTTGGGCCTGGGTCTATATGTTCCCTGGCCAGTGCAGCCGTCCTGGGGGTGATATGACCTCTAGTTAGTTCTATCATCAGAACTAACGACATGGATGTGGGCTTCAAGAGCTTTTTTGTTTTGTTCAAGTGGGTGATGGGTAGGCATGAACAGGGACAAGGTGAGAGAGGGGTAGCTGGCTTTCCATAGATGGTGCCTGAACCCCCTTTGCAAAAAGCCAGTTCTGAGTGGGGGGAGAAAGAAAAGAGAGAAGGGGTGGGAGCATTGCCCTCAGCAGTGGAACTCTGTGAAGGGAAGGGAGGAATTTGTTAAGGGATTATTAGGAAGTCATGCTACTTAACTCCCTCTGCATGTCCTCAAGAGACCTTCAGTCAAGATCCTTGTGACTTTTCAAGGCTTTTTAGAAAGGATTTCAGATGTGATGCTCTGATGCAATAAGACTAAAGGATAGACCAGAAGGGCCCAGTCTGCCACTGTGGCTTTCTTACAGAAAGGGACTCTGCTGCCCAAGCAAAGGGAGTGTTCTGGTCGGCACCACGATTCTAAATCTCCCCATATAACTCAGTGCGTTCTGGTTTACACATCAGTCTCTTGGGAGTCGCATCAGTGTGAGTCTACTCTTGAGAGGTTGCTAGCAAAATGGAATTTTTGGTCCTGCAGAGCTGAGGACCAGACTCTATAGCAGTCACCCCCACCAAGATGCTGCCCCCCCAATGGCCTTTCCTAAGCAGAGAGAACACCTTCATTTTCTCTTTCATCTAACAAATATTTTTGTTACATGCCAGGCACACGTGCTAAAGATACAGTGATGAGCATAAACGGGTATGAGGCCAGCCTTCATGGAGTTTATAATGTGAGGGGTGAGGGGTAGGACAGACGGAAATTTTGCCACAAACAAATGTAAAATCATGACATTGTGTTACCATCACAGTTACGGGAGTTCTACACGGTGTTCTTGAGGGATCGTGACAGAGGGATTTGACCCAGTCAAGGAGATCTGAAGATGAGGTAAACAGGGGAGGAAATGTGCTCCACAAAGCCTTTGAAGAGGAGGGAGGAAGGCCATGGCATGTATGGAAGACATAAAGAAGAGGCTGAAGGGGAGAGGGAGGTAGAGAGGGAGGGGAGAGGAGGCTGTGGGGCCAGGAGACAGAGGTGCTCATGCCCACCTTTGCGTTTTAAGAAGAGTGCTCTTGGGGCGCCTGGGTGGCTCAGTGGTTAAGCGTCTTCCTTCAGCTCAGGTCATGATCCCAGGGTCCTGGGATAGAGCCCCGCATCAGGCTCCTGCTCCGCGGGAAGCCTGCTTCTCCCTCTCCCACTCCCCCTGCTTGTGTTCCCTCTCTCGCTGTGTCTCTTTCTGTCAAATAAATAAATAAAATCTTAAAAAAAAAAAAAAAAGTGCTCTTTGGGCACCTGGGCCAGGGCGGGGTCCTTTAAGCGGCTGCCTTCGGTCATAATCCCTGAGCCCCGCAAGGGGGCTCCACACTCAACGGGGAGTCTGCTTCTCCCTCTCCCTCTGCCCCTCCCCTGTTCGTGCTCCCTCTCTCTCAAATGAATAAGGAGAATCTTTAAAAAGAAAGGGAAAAGGGAAGGGGTGGGGAAGAAGAATGCTCTGGGCAAATGGGTGAGGGCAGACAATTTAGGGGGCTGTTACTCAAGTCTCACCAGGTAGTTATACTTCCCAGAAAAATCCTCATATTGGCCACAAGAGGACATGCTTGAGGCTGTTCACGGTGGAGCCAGTAGCTGGAGGCAATTTACACGTCCATCACCACGGGTCCAGATAACTACAATGTGAGCGCCCACTATGAAATACTGCACAGTTATTCTAAGTAACAGGCACACACAGTAACAAGGACAAATCTTAAAAGCATCATGCTGAGTGGGAAAAATAAGAAACTGAATGAGGTTTATAGCACAATACCATTTAGGTAAATTAAAAATACATGCACACTAGACAACACGCATGTTTGACAAAGACACTCTCACAGACACTGGGGAAGGGAGGAGGAGTAGAGAAAAGAGATAAAGGCCATAAATAGATAAAACAAGAGAGAGGGTATACAAAGCCCAATGATTATAGTGTGTCATGAAGCGAGCAATGAGTAGCCCAACCTCTACATCTGGGAATAAACAATTAAAAGGTCTTGCAGTTGTTTAGGCAAGCGTCAAGCCCCTTAGACTACGGCACATGTGGTGGAGATGAAAAGTGGATGGAGTATGTGATAGGAATGAAACACATAAAGCATATTTAGGGTGCCTGGGTGGCTCATGTTGGTTAAGCGACTGCCTTCGGCTCAGGTCATGATCCTGGAGTCTCGGGATCGAGTCCCGCATCGGGCTCCCTGCTGAGCGGGGAGTCTGCTTCTCCCTCTGACCCAACCCTCTCATGCTCTCTCTATCTCATTCTCTCTCTCAAATAAATAATTTTTTAAGTCTCTTATAAAAAAAAGCATATTTAACATATATAGTACATAGTAAGTGGCCAACACATGTGAGCTGTTACTATCTATTATTTAACCAATCAATATGGAATTTCTTGGTCAGCACTAGGAAATTTAGTGATCCCTTCCATTCCCCTTAGGAGGGTGACCTTACCTAAAACAATGCATTCTTGGCTCATAATACCCCTTTTTCTGCTCCCTCTCTGTCTTCAAAAACCTTTCCTTTTCTTCAGCTCGGTGGAACTCCTTTCTATTTGTCAGATGGGATTCTGCCTGATTTATGAATCATTCAATAAAGCCAATTTCACCTTTTAAGTTACTCAGTTGCCCTGGGTGGCTCAGATGGTTGGGTGTCTGCCTTCGGCTCAGGTCATGATCCCAGGGTCCTGGGATTGAGCCCCACGTGGGGCTCCTGGCTCAGCGGGGAGCCTGCTTCTCCCTCTCCCTCTCCCTCTCCCCCTGTTCATGCTTTCTCTCTATCTCTCTGTCTCAAATAAATAAATAAAATCTTTAAAAATCTTGTTTAAAAAATGTTACTCAGTTGAATTTTTGTTGCTTAACAGTAGAAACATCAGAGATTACAGATAAATTCGAACAAACAATTGTGAGCCCTAAACCTCTCCTGAGGCGTAACTACATCAATTGTCGACATTCAGGAGAAATAGCTCCTGACACCTCTACAAGTGCAAAATTTGTGAAATCCTTGCAAGCATAAGCTTCTTAAAATGCAGAATATATAGCTGAGACTGGATAGGTGGTCATGCCATTCATTAAGATAGAGACCTCAAAAAGAAAAACCTGATGGCAAAAATGTGTTAATTTGGGGCTGAAATAGTTTGTGTTGAAGTCTGAGATTCTTCTAAGTGCACACAAAAATATTGAGGACCTGTGATGTGCCCTCATAGGTACTAGGAATGTGCTAGGTACTGGGAATACAAAGGTAAACAAAACAGATGAGTTTAAGCTTATTGAGCTGGCAAGTGTATCATATAAACGAAATAAAATACAATTCTAAACTTTGGTAAGGGTCATGTAAGAAATCACAAGATACTAGGATGTAAACTAATGTAGTTTTTTTTTTTTTTTTAAGATTTTATTTATCTATTTGACAGAGAGACACAGCGAGGGAGGGAACACAAGCAGGGGGAGTGGGAGAGGGAGAAGCAGTCTTCCCGCCCAGCAGGGGGCCCCATGCGGGGCTTGATCCCAGGAGCCCGGGATCATGACCCGAGCTGAAGGCAGACGCTTAACGACTGAGCCATCCAGGCGCCCCTAAACTAATGTAGTTTAATATTTACTCATGTCCTTAATACGTTCCTAGGAAGACTCCCTAAAAGTGCAATTTCTGGTCTACGGATCTGCTTGTTTTAATTTATTTAAAATTTTTTAAAAATAGACTTTATCTTTTGGAGCAGTTTGAGGCTTAAAAAAAGTTTTTAATTATCTTACAGAGGCTTGGGGGAATGAGAGAGGATACTGAAAACACACGGGCTCTAATTTATTAAAATGTTCATCTGGCGAGTGCAGCATAGTGTGATAAAAACTACATATCCCAAGGAGCAGCGCGGCACGTCACAGAAAGGATGGCGCACGCGTGGAGGAAGTTCGCGCTACGACTGGTTCATAAAAGGAAAAAAGCGTGTGTGGTTCTCGACGTGCCGCGAATCTTCGAACGCAAGCGCGTTATAATCTTCAGACTTGGGAAAAGCATTCGAGGGGCGCGCCCGCGCCTGCCGTCGTAATTTGCAGCACGACGTACCTATTCCGCTCGCGGCTTGGCAGGTGGGGCTGGGTCGCGGTCTGGGGCCCTCCGGGGAATGGCGGGAGCGGAGAGCCGCGGTCCCCTCCGGTGCGTCCCCATTCCCGGGCCTCCCTGAGGCGGCTCTCGAGGGGCGGTGCGCACGCGCCCTGGGCGGGGAGAGGCGGGGCTCGGGGAGGGAGGCCCCGCGCCGGCGGTCTTTAGCATTTGCGCGTGCGCCGGCCCGCTCGGCGAGGAGGGGAAGCCGGCGTCCGCGGTGCTGGGTGCTGGGCGTGGAGGCGGCGGAGGCGGGGTACTCAGTCCAGGTGCGAGAAGACGGTGGCTGAGGATGAGCCCCTGTTGACGAGATAATTTTTTCGCCCTCCCGAGACTTCCAATTGCCTCCTCATCTCTCTGCGCCCGTTTGCAGCGTGAGGCTTCAGCCTCTAGCTGGCGCCTCATCACCTCCAGGTCTTTGAACCCGCCCCAGTCTAGGCCCCCGCCACGCCACTGAAATAGCACTTTGTTGAAGCTACCAGTGCTCTCTCGGTCGCCACATTCAGTGTTAAGTTCGTTCTCACTCCTCTAGCAGTGGTTGATGCCGTTCATCGCTGCCCTTTCTTGAAGCACGTTCATTTGATTTGTGGAACATTCTCTTCTTTTTTTTTTTTTTAAAGATTTTATTTATTTATTTGAGAGAGAGAAGGAGAGAGAGTACACGAGAGGGGGGAAGGTCAGAGGGAGAAGCAGACTCCCTGCCGAGCAGGGAGCCTGAAGCGGGACTCGATCCCGCGACTCCAGGATCATGATCTGAGCCAAAGGCAGCCGCTTAACCAACCCAGCCACCCCGGCGCCCCGGAACATTCTCTTCTTCAGCCTCAGCCCTCTGGTTTCTCCTCTGCTGATGTCTTGTTCCTCTTCTTTCTCTTTAACGATTGTACTGCCCCCAGGCCTCGTCCTAATCTCTGTGTACTACACTTCCCAGGAGCTATCCATTTCAAGACTTTATAAATACCGCCTAGTGTGCTCTCAGATTTCCATCTTCAACCCAGTGCTGTCCCTTGAACTCCAAATTCTTACATTCACGTCTCAAACGACATCTCTTAAAACGTCAAAATCGGCATTTCAGACATGTCCAGAACTGAAATTTTGAGTTTTACCCCTCACATACTTTCACCTTCCCCAGTCTTCCCATTCTTCCAGTTGCTGAGGCCAAACACTGAGTTATTCCTGGTGGTTTTTGCGCCCCGCTCCCTTTCCTTTTGCCCTTGAGGCTTTGAAGTTTCACTGCTGGCACTTATTCTGTCAAAGAGTTACTCTCTTTGGCGCTTGGTCCTTTTTGCCTGAGAATTTGTGTTTTCAGTTCTTCAATATTCCCTGTCATTGTTTATTCAAATTTATCCATGTATCTATTGTGTTTTCTATGTCTCTTTTAAAGTGTTAACTTCACCGACTAATAAGTATATGGAACTATTTGTTTAATGTCTGTGTTCCTTTCTGGACTGAATTTCGTAAGCAAGGCAGGGACACTTTGTCTCATTCACTGCTGTATATTTCTCATGCCTGGCACAGAGTAGGTATTTGACAAATATTATTGAGTGAATGAATTTATAGAGAAGAAATACCTCCTCTCCATAGGTGGGGAGTAGACCATCCCTCTTAGAGTGTAATAGCAACTAATTGGGGTGCCTGGGTGTCTCAGTTGGTTAAGCATCTGACTCTTGATCTCAGCTCAGGTCTTAATCTTAGGGTCATAAGTTTGGGCCCACGTTGGGCTCCAGGCTGGGCATGGAGTTTACTTTAAAAAATATATATATATATATATTTTTTTTTTTTTTCTGGGGTTGGAGAGAAGATATTTAATAGCCCAGCTTCAGAATTGTTGAAAGACTAAGATATTTTCAGGATTCAGTGTGGTCCAGTAATCTATTCTGAAGACTTAGTAGATGCCAGGCCCCGTGCTAGTTGCTGGGAATGTAAAGACGAATACAACTGCATGTCAGTCTTCTAAGAGCTCACGTTCTGCAGGAGAGACAAGTAAGTGTGAAACAGTCTCTCGGTGTATGTGTGACAAGTGCAAGAATCTGCTTTGGAAGTTTTGACTGCCATTGGCATCAGGGCAGATGAGTGGCGCCTGGGGCAGCCAGATCCCCCTGCCATTCTTTTCTGGCTGTGAGCGGCTTTGTTCTTTTACGCAAGGATGCCATACAAATGTTACCGTAAGTATTCTGTTCTGTGTGTGCTGTGAAGAAGGTTGGCAGGTGCTGCTGTGGAAGTGTTAACTGTGCTACCAGTTGATTTGGACCCCAAAAGATGAGCACCCAGAGGGAAGTGGGGGGAAGGATCAAGGGGCATTTCAGGCAGACATAACAGAAGCACGAAAGTATGTGCTTGTTTGGAATGCGGGCACTAGAATTGCTCACTGTGGTTATTGTGTGGTATTGCTGTTTGAGAGGGGCTGGCTGTCTAGGATCTGAAGAAGTGCCTTGAAAGTGTTTTGTAGGGGCTCCTGGCCGTCTCAGTCAGAGGAGCATGTGGTTCTTGATCTTGGGGTCGTGAGTTCAAGCCCCATGTTGGGTGTAGAGATTGCTTAAATAAATAAACTTTAAAAAAAATCTTAAAAAAAAAAAGGTGCTCTGTAAATCACAGTGTCTGTTTTATAAATACCTGGCCCAACCGTGAGGCCCCCTGTTCTCAGTGGGTAGGTCCATCGGCATCCGTAGTTTTAGTGACCCATCTTTCTGGAGCTGGAAATGGGGACATGTAGTAAGACACAGACCTTTTTAACCCCATTTCTAAATTTGTATATGAAGAGTCTTACAAAGATTTTTTTTTCACCAACCAATACGGAACTTTTCTTTTTAACATAATTTATGTACATCTGGAATATGAGAGTAATCCTTTTACAAATGGAACTGATTGCTAGAATAAATAATGACAAAACCAAACTGGTATTTCTTGTGACTCCACATGAGTTTAAGCTTCAAATCCGGCCAAGAAGTTTGTTGCAATCTCTTTCAGCTTAGCCTGTGACTGTTTGAGATCTTTCCATCAGTCCTTATATTGCCCAACAGGGCTTGGTGCTGGCTGATAACATGAGCCAAGAAAGCATGCTCAAACTTGTGATCTTGCTGGGCTCCAACTTATCAAGATACCGTCTTTCACCGGCATAAAGAATAGCCACTCGTTCTTCAGTAGCCATGGGAGAATGCTATCCTTGCTTCAACAACTCAGTCAGTCACATGCCACGACTTGAGTTGTTGAATGGCAGCATCAAGATCAGAACCGAACTGGGCAGAAGCAGCAACCTCAAGATACTGAGCCAATTCCAGCTTCGTGGTACCTGCCACCTGCCTCATGGCCCTGGTTTGGGCAGCAGATCCCACACGGGACACAGAGAAACCAACGTTAATGGCAGGGTGGATACCTTTGTAGAACAGTTCTGTTTCCAAGAAGATCTGTTCGTCGGTGATAGAAACGACATTTGTTGGAATGTAAGCAGACACATCACCAGCTTGTGTTTCTGTGACTGAGAAAGCAGTTAAGGAACCACCACCAGAAGAATTGTTCATTTTGGCTGCTCTCTCTAGGAGACGGGAGTGTAGGTAGAACACGTCACCAGGATAGGCCTCACCGACCGGGGGGCTGGCAGAGCAGCAGAGACATCTGATGGTAAGCAACAGCCCGTTTGGATAAGTCGTCATAGATGATCAAAGCATGTTTGCCATTATCTCTAAAATATTCTCCCATAGAAGAGACAGAGTAAGGAGCCAGGTCCTGAAGTGGAGCAGCATCAGGAGCAGTAGCTGAAACCACAGTGGTGGACTTCACAGCATCTGCATCTGTAAGTCTCTTCACCAGCTGGGCAACGGTGGATCTCTTCTGACCAATAGTAGATACAGTATAGCTTCTTCTCATCAGTTCCTTCGTTGAAATGTTTCTAGTTAATGATTGTGCCAATAGCAATTGATGTTTGGCCATTCCGTTGGTCACCAGTAATCAGCTCACGCTGGCCACGACCCATTGGCACCAAGCTATCCACAGCCTTAATACCAGTCTGCATTGGTTTGTGCACAGAGATTCGAGAAATGATCCCAGGGGCTTTCAGGCCAACTCGCCTACAGGTCTTGGAACCAGTTGGACCCTTTCCATCAGTGGCATTACCAAGGGCATCTACAATACCGCCCAGTAGCTCCTCACCAACTGGAACATCCACAGTGGCTCCTGTTCTCTTGACGATATCTCCTTCCTTAATTAGTTTGTCATTTCCAAACATGACAACACCAACGTTGTCAGGTTCCAAGTTCAGAGACATACTCTTTATTTTATTTTTTTTAAAGGTTTTATTTATTAGAGAATGAGAGAGAGAGAAAGCACATGAGATGGGGGGAGGGTCAGAGGGAGAAGCAGACTCCCTGCCAAGTAGGGATCCCGATGCAGGACTCGATCCCGGGACTCCAGGATCATGACCTGAGCCGAAGGCAGTCGCTTAACCAACTGAGCCACCCAGGTGCCCAGAGAGACATACTCTTTAAACCTGAAGAAAAATCTACCATTTCTTCTGCCTGAACATTTCTTAGCCCATGTACGTGGGCAATGCTTAGGACACGCCCAGTCTCTTCAAGGTCAACAGAGGTATCAGCTCCAAGAATACACTCTTCAAGGATAGGGGACACTTCAGCAGTGCCAGTCTTCTGAAGACGAGTGTTAGAGGCATGGAAGTTCCTTGCAGCAATGAAGGATGATCCCAAATCATTTTTGGAGACCAGCCTGGCCTGCTGAGGGAGGGCGGGGGCCCTGGCCACGGCGACGCGCACGGACATCTTCACAGCTTCTCGGGTGGTTCCTCTGCAGCCTCCGGACTGACTGCCTTACAAAGATTTTAAATGAATCTTTGAAATGAAATGAATGAAAATGAATCTCCTATAGAATTTTGATATATCATCTGCATTGGAAAAAAAATACCCAATTTACGTCACTCCAGGATTTGTGGTCTCTGTAACTGTGGAGTAGAAGCCAGTTTGTTGAACACCAAACCAACAGGATTTGGATGTTGATCATACTAAGGGTTGTTTGAGTCTTAAGGCTTAGGTCATAGAGGGGCGCCTGGGTGGCTCAGTCGTTTAAGCGTCTGCCTTCGGCTCGGGTCATGATCTCAGGGTCCTGGGATCGAGCCCCGCATCAGGCTCCCTGCTCCCTGGGAGGCCTGCTTCTCCCTCTCCCACTCCCCCTGCTTGTGTTCCCTCTCTCGCTGTGTCTCTCTGTCAAATAAATAAAATCTTAAAAAAAAAAAAAAAAGACTTAGGTCGTAGAGTCAGACAGGTCTGGATTTGAATCCCACCTCTGTCACTTATTACTTGCGTGACCTGGATAAAGTCACTGATTTCTCCAAGACTCCAGTTTCCACAGTTCTAAATGAAGAGTACAGCACTTACTTTGTGGGACCGTGAGGAGAGCTAGGTGGGGTCATCTACATAAAAGTGCTTAGCACGTATAGGTATTCGGTAAGGAAGTACTGTCATAATTACCTTTATTTTTCTACCTCTTTTTATCAGATGCCACCATGAATCCCCATCTTACTGTTAATACTTTCAGTGTGATCTTAATATCTTAACAGTTGATTGACAGTTTCCAGTAGACGAAATGGTTCTATTTCTGTGATCTTTTTTGCTATTGAATAAGCTGAGCTTGTTACAAAGCTTGAAATTGGGAGGGAGAGCAGATTCTAGAGTTTGCAGTTTTGCAAATACCTGTATTTCCCAAGTTACCCGGCATAATTTAACCAATCTGAACTTCAGTTTCTCCAGCTATAAAGAGGGTGTGCTTATGGGATTGCTGTAAGGTTTCAGTAGGAATCCCCTGTATAAGCTTTGGTCTAGAAGCGTGGTAGGTACTAGGGGAAAGAAATCAGCATCTCCTTAATTTTTTCAAACCAATTGATGAATGTAGATTGTTGTTGATGGTGGCCAGATTCAGAGTATGGAATCTTAGTGTAGGATCTTAGATGCCTTCCTTCCCTTTGATTCAGAACAAAGCTCTTACTGTCTTAAGCCCTGTAGGACTAACGTTAGAGGGGTTTAAGTATGAGTTGTTTGGATTTGTTTGTATGAGGCCTTGGCTTCTAGAGAAGGGGCTAGAGAGTAGGTTTTGACTGGGTGGTTAGCAGTTAATAGTCCTTTGTCCCTAGAATTACCTATTAGACATCTCAGTTGCAGTTAACAAAAAGTGAACCTAAACTAGTCCAAGCAGGAAAGGAGTGTCTGTTAGACTCTAACTGAAAAGTCCTGGGTATAGCAGCTTCAGACGTGGTTATATCCAGAAAGCTAACTGATGTCACCAGGATTTTTTATGTCTTTCAGCACTATTTCTCTCCGTGTTGGCTTCTCTCTCAGGCAGGCACATGCCTCCATCCTTCCCAGGCTTCCCTTCTACTCTCTTAACAACCAACTGAAAGAAGGTATCTCTTTGCAGATGGCTCCTAGCAAAAGATCTTAAGTTGATTTGGACCAGACTTGGGTTGCATACCTCTTCCTGAGCCAGTTATTGTGGTCAGGGAGAATGGAATGCTCCCATCTTTGGAGCCAAGGTGAAGGACAGTTTCCCAAAGAGAAACTGGAGTGCTATGACCAAAATGGAGAAAAGGTGATGGGCAGAATGCTCAGAAGTTGCTTCCTGTAGTGGTGGAGTAGCTCATATCAGGCCAACCCTCCTGCAAATAACAATTATAAACTGCGTGCCCACATGCACAAAAACAACCCCCTAACTGGAATAAGGGCAGCAGGAGTGGATACCCGGAAGAAGGGGGTGGCACTGGTGAGTCTCCTGTTTGTTTGTGGTTGTTGTGAATGCCTTGTCACATGGTAAGTACTCATCTTGGAAACAAGAGAGCCAAGCAGGAGGAATTCCAAATTCTTGTTATAAAAGTCATTTTATCTAAATGTCCCATCAGCTGATGAAGGCATAAACAGAATGAGGTCTGGGATATCAGTCAGCCGTAAAAGGAGCAAAATACTGACACATGTACAGAATGGATGAACCTTGAAAATATTGTGCTCAGTGAAGGAAGCCAGTCTCCACAGGCCACATGCTGTGTGATTTTGTTTCTATGAAGTGTCCAAAAAAGACAGATCCGTGAAGTCCAGAATGTAGAATAAACAGTTGCCTGTGGCTGAGGGGAGGAGGGACTGGGGGCTGACTGCTGTTTGGGTACAGGTTTTGGGAGGTCATGAAAATATTCTAAAATTAGGTGGTGGTGATGGTTGCACAACCTTGTGACTATACTAAAAAGCCACTGAATTGGACGTAAAGGAAGCCAAGTAAGTGTATGGGAAGGGGCTCAACATCAGTCACCGGAGAAGTCTAGATTAAAACCACAGTGAAAATTCACTTCACGCTAGCTAGGATGGCTAAAAATTGTTTTAAATAAAATGAAGATGACAACACTGTACATGGCAAGGATGTAGAGCAACTGGAACTTCTGTACATTGTTGGTGGGAGAACTGGTACACCTTCTCAGGGAAAGAGCCTGGCACTTTCTTGGAAAATTAAACATCTACCTCAGACCTAAGTACTTAAGAAAAATGAACATATGTCTAAAAAAAGACTCCTATATGACTACTCATGGCAGTTTTATTCATAGTGGCCCCAAGTTGGGAGTAGCCTGGGTGCCATCAGAACAGAGCTGGCTAAACAAACAAGTTTGTTCATGAGAGAGAACAGTGCTCAGCAATAGAAAGGGACAGACTCCTGATACACACACCACACATTCAGAGAATCCATACCCTAAAGAATGTGGATGGCATGATTACATTTCTTCATTTTTAATTTATTTAGAGAGAGAGTGTGCGAGCAGGGGGACGGGCAGAGGGAGAGAGGGAATCCCAAGCCAACCCTATGCACTGGCAGAGCCCAGCTCAGGGCTCTATCTTATGACCCTGAGATCACAACTTGAGCTGAAACCAAGAGTCGGATGCTCCACCGACTGAGCCACTGAGGTGCCTCATGATTACATGTCTATGAAGTTCTAGAACAGGTGGACCTCATCTGTAGTGAAAAAATGTCAGAATGGTAGTTCCCTCTGTGGGTAGAAATAGAAGGCGTGGCTTCTAAAGCAGTGGGAAGAAGAGAGTGCCAGGAGCCAAAAAGCTTGGAGTGTTGGGCCATGCCTCAAAATGTGTAAGAAAGCCTGAAACCTTTCAGAGATTGTCCGGCCTCTCGAGGTTGGGATCAGCTTGGGGCCCTTGGACTCTGATAACGGGCAGCTGGGGCTGGAAGCCACTTCCTCCCAGCTCGGAGCTCTGGCCTTTTCATCATGTATGGTTCCGTGCCCCGTGCTTTGTTCCTGTAGGCTTTGGCATTGGGGGTGTCTTCTGGGGGAGATTCAAGGTCACGACTGAACGGATCTGGAGATAGTTTGTTGTAAAACTGTAAAGTGAGGTCGTTCTCCCAAGCAAGGCACTGCCCAGCAGGCAGGGCTCAAACAGGAGAGCACTCCTCAACGGTGTGGACTCTGTGTGGCCCACCATCTCAGCGTTGCTCCCCTCGGGCTTGGGATGCATCAGGGTTTTCTTCTGCCTCGGCCTTTGACTGCTTTGCTCAAGTTAGTGTAGTCCCTGTTTTTTCCCGGCAGTTCCCTGACCCCCGTTTCCAGACAAGGAGGGGGTAGCTCATGTTCACATATTGTGCCAGGCACCGCCTGGACCTTCCTTATGTTGTTAATCCTCAAGTGGGTGCTCTGGTTTTTACTGAGACTCAGAAAGGCTCAGGAGCTCCCCAAGGGTGAGTCTATGGCCTCATGGGAACTTAGCAGCTGTTTTGTCCCCGTTGCCCTTCTTGGAACGCTCCTAAAGTATGCATGTCAGTTCATTTGTCTGATGGCTATTTTGCAAGTGGTGTATTTCATTTCTTTGTATGACTTTATACTGCTCTGAGTGCTGGGCATGCTGTTCGCCTCTTCCTGTGTTTCCCAGAGTAGTTTCCGACAAACAGCTACCAAGCCCTCCCTATGTTCCAGGCTTCATTTTGGGTGCCAAGATACAAAGGTGAGTAAAACTCTGTTCTTCTACGTAAGGGGCTGGGAATGTGAGAAGTGGACTCCCACACAAGTAGAAAGCAGTCTTACAAGAACATATGCGTGCCAATTGTGGTTATGTTGCATGCGCAGAGTGGCACACAGAATGAAAATCATTTTAGGTTGCTGGGACTTGCTTGAATGATTCTTTAATATTGTTCTACTATTTTTTTTCCCCTGTTAATTAGAAAAAATGGAAAGAGAGGTGTGGCCAGAGTGCTCTGGGGAGCCAGGGGAGTTCCTGACTGCTGAATGGTTAAGGGGTGCCCCCAGGAAGAGGGGGCATTGAGCAGGAAGAACATGCTGGCATTTGTCTGATAGGTCCTGGGGGAAGGGACATCCAGGTAGTGGAATACCTTGATGGTCCACTTGCTGAGCTGGTGACCGAGTGGTTCCAGAGATAGCAGTGGTTTTTCATAAAATCATGAAGTGAGGTTTTCCCAGGCAGGGAGCTACCCAGCAGGCAAGGCGACCCTCCGGAGGGCTGTCATCCATGTGAGTGCTTCTCAGTATTGCACACTGGATAGAAACGAGGGGAGATGAAAGCCTTTTAAAAACCACTGGTAAACCGTGCATATGTGAGGGGATCCCGATAATTGGTGTAGGGGCTGAGTGTCAGAGGCTGAAGGTCTCCAAAAATGGGTACCACCTCCCCACTGCTGCCCACTTTGGCATTTGATCTACTCCCTCCCCTCCAGACCACATGGGTCCGCTTTTCCAGCCAGTATACTGCAAGTGTCAGCCTCCATCTCTCGCGTGTATGTCTGTCTTTGCATCTTCCATTTGCAAAAGGTTTGAGGAGATAACGTGCTTTTTTCCCCCTGTGTATCCATGGGATACCTCTGGAGAAATACCCAAGAAACAGTAGTGGTTGCTTCTAGGGGTGGGAGATTTCATTGTACTTCTGGTATCATTTGAATGTTTTTATTATGTGCATATATTTAATATATATGTATATATTAAAATTTTCTTTTCCTTATGAGAAACAGGCTTTGTGCCCAACTACAGTGAGACACAGAGATGGGATGATATTGTGATAATGTGATGAGAGCCCCAACTAAGACAGTGACAGGTGTGGTGGAAGGGAAGGGCTAGGTTTGAGAGAAATTTCTTAGGCAAAATCCCTAGAATTTGAAGAGGGTGGGTCAGGGAGGTGTGGGGGGTTGTAGCTGATCAAGAAGGAGGAATGGATGACTCTGGGATTTGCAGCCTGGGAAGCTAGCTGGACAGTGATGGATGCCATCAACCCACATCTGGAAGGCAGGGCAGAAGGAAGTATGAGGTGTCTGAGGGGCATCTGGGTTGAGCCATCAGGTGGCAGCTGGAAATCTGAGTTGGGAACCTTGGAGAGAGGTCAAGGCTGATGATCTCCATTTGGAAGTTTCAGAATATGGGGCCTTACAGTCGATGAGATGCCCAGGGAGTGCTTAGAGACAGAGAAGGGCTTCCTAGGGTGATTGTCCTCTGGGGTAGAGGAGGGAGCAACAGAAAGACCGTACAGGGTGGTTGAAGAAATAGGGGGGACTGGAGGCCTGGAAATCCAGAGAACAGAGCTTTGAGAAGCAGCGTGTGGTCAGGTATTCAGTGCGGTGGAAAGGTCCAAGAGCTGGCAGGAGATCACTGGGGACTGAGGGAGAGCCACGCCATGTTGGGATGAGGCATGAACAGGAGTAGAAGTGAAGATGGTGGGTACCACGTGCCAGCTCCATGCTAGATACAGGAGGTGGAGTGATCCCCACCCTCAGGGACTAGACTAGCTGGGGAGGAGACAAAAACACACGAACAGAATTTTAATAGGATTTGGTAGGCACTGTGGTAGAGAGATGCACAGGATATTGTGGGAACACAGAGAAAAGTAACTTAACTCAGCCTGGGAGACTGGGGGTGGGGGTAGGAGGAGTGGGGTTCTAACCGTGGCTGGTGAAAGGAGATGACTTGATAAGTAAGCCAGGTCTTAGAGACTAAGTTGTTAAATCAGGCAGAGGATTAGGGGTGTCCTGCTTGCAGGAAGGGCATCCCAGATAGAGGGAACAGCATGGGGATAAGAAATTACATGGTGTATGGTCAAAACCAGAAGAGTTTGGAGTGGCTGGAATATGAGGTATGAGGCAGGCCCTGGTGAGAGGAGATGAGGCTGGTGGGGGTGGTTCGTGGGGATGGAAGCCTCTTCATCGAGCCAGTGTGGTATGTGAAGGGCTTGACTTATCTCGAGGCAGGGGTTGAAAGCTTTGTTAGGGGAACATGACCACACTTGTCCACTTGTCTTTTAGATGGGTGGTTCTAGGACCTTACAGAGGGTGGATTTGATGGAGAGGAGAATGCAGAAGGGGGCTGCTGTGTCATTGGTATGGGGGGAGACAGTGCCTGAAGGCCAGGAGAGAGGGATGGGTTTATGGGGCAGTAAGTCAGCGGGAGTGGTGACTGATTAGACATAGGGGGATGGGGGTGTGAAACTCGCTGTTTCCAGCACCGGCGGCTGGATGGGTTATGGAAACGGCAACAGGAAAGGAGCATACTACCACACAGGAGTTTCGGGGGAGGGGAGGCAGAGAGGGAGGAGTCTGGCTTTGGACATACTGATTTTTTTTAAGTTCTATTGAGCTAAAATTCACGTACCGTACAATTCACCCATTCAAAGTGCACGATTCATTGTTGGGTTTTTTAAAGTATATTCACAGATTTGTACAACTATCCATTATTTAATTTTAGAATATTTTCTGGACACGATTTAAAGTCTTTTTTAAATTGTAGAATATTTCTAGCATACAGAAGTAGAGAGGCTCATGTAAGGAATGTCTCTGTTGAACATAGGGATTTGGGGTCTTCTCTGCTAGAGCTGTCTAGCCGGCATGAAAATAAGATTCTGAATCTTGGGGAGGTCATAGGGGGTGGCAGTGGATTTGGGATTTGGTACCATGTGGTTCATAGTTGATAGTGAGGTAGCCTGCGGGAGCCAGGGAAAAGCCTATACTTAACAACAGAGTTTGGAATAGCTGATGTGGGAAATTCAGAATGGACCTCATGGCAGGGGTGGGGGGTCAGGGCAGGAGAGAGGTGGTGTGTGAAGTAGAAAAAATTATAAAGTTCCTGCCAAGTCCTTGACCCGACCTATCAGTGGCGGTTATTGATGTAAAGGGTTCGTTGATGAAAGCAGAGGTGTGTGTTCGTGCCTGAGGAGGCTCCAGTCTGGTTGGGGAAGAAAAAACCAGTTTATAAAGGAAGAGTCCAATAAGGGACAAGTTTGGCTTTTTCGGGACAGCCCAGCAGGACCCACCTCGAGCTGATCCTTGAAAGTGTAACGTTTGTATCCTTGGTGAGGAGGGGGAGGGGCATGCCAGGGACAGAAGGGGAGAGGTGGAAGGGCACAGGACATCCGTGCTGCGTGTGTGCGGCTAAGACAGGCGGAAGCAGGGTTCGCAGATGGTGAGGGCTGGGTCCCACTGCGCACCCGCCCGGCTCTTCTTCAGATGCAGCCCTTTTCTCTGGTCCCTGGACTTGTTCTCAGCGTGCTCCTGTCCGTCAGGCAGCATACTCCGTTTCCCCACCTGAAACCCCCTCTGCCTCCCGCTCAGGCCTCCGCCCTCCCTGGTGCCACAGCTCAGCCGGCAGGACGGTGGCTCCTGTCTCGCACTAGAGGTGCTCTCCCTGAGGTCCTCAGGAACGTCCTGTCAGACTCAGGAGAGCGCTCCCTGTCCTTTTCTGTGGCCTCTGGGGGCAGGGCAGAGGGGGGTGGCCAGACTCGCCCTGAGTAGTGCCCGCATTTGCAGGGCGGGCAGGTGAGGGGCCAGCCCCAGAGACTGGAGGAGCCGGAGTGAGGTGGAGGGTGGACGGTGCAGGAGGGAGGCCCTGAAGCCAGAGGAGGCGGCAGCAGTGGGCACCTGTGTCGAGTGAGATGCAGACAGGTCGGGTTGGCCCAAGCAGGAGAGGATCTGGTGCTTTGACCCATATGGTTATTCGCTCTCTTGAGAGCGTCGTCACTGCACTGGGGAGGACAGAAGCTAGACGTTAGTGGGTTGAAAAGTAAAATGGGGGTGAGGACGAGAGGCCCAGGCTTGGACAACTGAAGTTTTTCTGTGAAGAGAAACAGGGTTAGGGAGCTGGAGGCGAGTGGGGATTGGAAGCTCTTATTTATTTATTTTTTTAAGATGGGCTCTCCTAAAGTATGCTCATTTTGCTCATACTGCACAGGAAAGGAGTATCAGACGGCCCGGGAGGAGATGGGGTTTGGAGCACAGGGGAGGGGCTAGTCCTTCCCTCTGGGGGAGGCAGAGGTGCAGGTGCTGCTGCATGGAGCTCGTTGTGGTCTTGGTGTCTTGGTGGGAACAAGGTCTCTGGCTTCTCTTCTGAGCAGAGTAGGAACCTGGGACTTTAGCTAGCGGGGGCCCAGACCCAGGTCTGAGGGCAGCGGAATCACTGGGAAGGATAACCAGTTGGCGTGATGGCATAGTGGGCGCGCCTGCTGCCGGCGTTTGTCACGGTGCTGTGTAAAGTCAACCCCCCATGTCCGGCTATGGGGCTTGCCCCAGTTTTACTCGGCACGGGTGTGGGCCGGTAGAAGGCAGGTGGTTCCACCTAGGATTCCTGCTTTAGTTAGCAGGAGAGAGAACAAAGGTCTTCCGTGCTAATCCATCCCTTCCTGCGATCTTTCTACTGAGCTCAGGGGGTGGTCTTTCCTCCTCCCTCTTTTCTCACACGGCAGATCAGTTCCTAGACTTTAGCAATGATCTTCATGCTGATCATTTCTCAAGTTTGTACACTTCTCATCTCTAAACTCGAGATCCGTTATTTCATGCGGTTCTAGCTAAATGCAGCTAGACTTTTTTTTTTTTTAAGGGACATGTTCTCTAGACTGAAATGTATTGCTGTGGTGCTGCAAATAGTGTCGCACATGTGGGAAAACAGGTCTGCGTCCCGAGCAGAGAAAAATAGATACATTGGACTGCATAAAAATCTAAAAATGTGTTTCAGAGG